GTATGCATTAGCATCTAAGGAGCAATGTCTAAACTCGAAGGTTTCTTTGGGCTTCTCCAATGAAATGATTAAATTTTAAATTTTTATGATGTGTTAAATAAAGATCAATTTTCAGATTAGACCAGCGTTTCTCAACCTTGCCAATGTTAAGATTAATGAATTTCAGCTCCCAGAATTTCCCAGCCAGCATCCTGGCTGGGGAATTCTGGAAGTTGAATTCCATATGGATTAACAAAATATCTCATGGGATTAGAGAGAAACTATGGCATTTTTTTATCTTGACTTATTATTCATAAATTATATTATACTGATGGTAGTTATTAGTTATTGCATGATGATTCTATTTTAATATTGAATTAAAGTTTAAAATAGGAGATTTTAATATTTAGAAATGAACCAATCTTAATTTTCTTTAGGATTATCATTCCCTTAGTGAAGACAGAACTGAGATCTCTTACTAACCCTTTATTTGTTCTATTCTAAAGTCTGATATTTCAGAATGGTGGAATGTTTGCTATATTCTTCTTTGGGGTAGATTTTACATTAGTCCCTTGTGCTGAACCAGATGTTAAAGGACAAAGGTTAGAAAGGAGGTGAAATTAATTACCGGTACTATTGGCTGGGGTAAAAACTCACTGTGAAGGAATGAAAAGTGAATATTTCCTGCGAATCTTTCAGACTAAAAATTTGGCAGAAAGTAGAGAAGACTTAAAGCTTTTTTAAACATGAAAATAAATGTCAACAAAATATTTTTGCACTAATTCAGGCATAAAGCACCACGCCGTCGTTTGCAGATTATAAAATCCTATGCAAGTTATGATCTAGTGTACACCACCAATGCAGAAGTAGAAATCAGAATATTTTTCTCTATTCTGCATAAATCCTCCCCAGATGCAAGCAATGGCTTAATACCAAATAACCAGGGACATATAGCAACAGCTGTACAATCCGGACTTGGAGAGAGACTGGCACTATTCCAAAGACAGATTCTGGACTAGAGAATCCTAGTTTATAGTTCCCCCTTCAGTTTACTATCTGGCTTGATAATTACATCCCTTTCAGTACAGTATAATAACCATTTTAGCCAACCACTGAAACTGTTCTCTTGTTAATTTTCAAATACTTGAGATTTTCAAATATAAGCCAAAAACAAATTATACATTTTAACATACACTATAGAGTGATAATTTTATTGAACTACACCCCAACCCCCAAATGTGGTAGTACTTGATAACTGCAAATTCCTGATTTTTATCTTTAGCAACAAGACTATTGCAACCAAGCTTTATTGGTTCCCTGAGGCATCCAATATTTGAAAACATTTTTATGTTACACCCCAAATAAATATCCATGGTCCTGAAGAGATATTTTGGGTTCTGGGATTGTCCAGATGACCCATTATCCCATGCCAACACCTTTCTGATTTCAATACAAAGTTCATTTCATTTTATTCTAGAGATAATTCAGATTTTACAGATCTGATGTATAGATAAGACTGCTGGGGAAGGAAATAACATTTTGGGTCTTTTATCCCACTCCTCACAAGGGGCTTCAGGTAAGAGAAAGAGAGACACATTCTCCTTCTCCTTTCCCCACAACAAGGAGAGAAAACTAAAAGAAGCAAGATTTCTGTCAGAACTTCCTTAATAATCTTTATTAGTTCTTTTGGAATGTAAGCATCTGTCTTGAGATACTTTTAATGGGCTTGGCTCTATTCATACAAATATCCTGTACTAAATATGGACACTGATGAATGAATTAGAAAATTCCTTTCAGGGTTACCTCAATATTTTTCCTACAAGAAAAAGCATGTGAAGATTCTAGAACCAATCAACCAATCAACACCTCTCTTTTTTACCCAATAATAAAATACAAAGAATTGTCAACCAATCATTGTTTGGCTCCCAGCTACTTATTAACAGCACTCTCTCTCACTCAGGACTGATGTATCAATTAGATATTATAGATAAAGTGCCTAGGGCCCATGAAAATGTTTGTTTGTTATATGCTGCCCATCTCACCGTCCAAAGTGACTTTCTAAAATTTTGTTTTAATGAGAAGGAATAAAAATGAAGTAGAAGTTATTTATTGTATGCCTTCTAATAAATGTTCATTTATTTTCACTCTTTTAATAAAAAAAACACATGAGAAATGCACAAAATGTGAACATCTATCCAATAATCTTATTTATAACCTAGAGGCATAGGGCAGCTACTGAAATTTAGTTAACTTTGATGATGATGATGATTATATGATATACTATTTTCCATCTCTATAAAATTCAAAGAAAATATTGAAAATTATATGAGGTATACTTTTTAATACTATTCTTTTTATAGAGGGTGGGGCCTATGAAAGCAAAATTAGCTAGAGCCCACAAAAGTGACTCTGATCCCAGCCTCCCCAGATCTGCATCAGGAATATTTTTTTTAATTAGCTTTGAAGAAATAAAAGCAAAATAAGTAAGCTGGTACCATTTCCTGTGGTTGCACCTGTGCCCTCCAAAGCCATTGATGCTGCTATGTGAAGATGGCTGCACCTGGCTCTTTTGCCCAATAAAAGCAAGGTACTTCTAAGGCAGGAAAACTAGAGCTGGAAACCTTGTTTCCTGGAGCTCCCTTAATGAAAGCACATGTGCCCCATTTAGTGCAACAAAGGGAAACTAATTAATTGAAAGCTGTCACCTGACTGACAGAAACATGGGGATCAGATCTCTGACTGACAGAAACATGGGAATCAGATCTGAATTACTTAGTGAAATTTTCCTTCGCTTCTCAACCTGTGGCTTTACAATACTTGACAACTCTTTCAAAGGAACAGAAGATAGTTATTCAAGATCCAGCAATGGATCTTGGAAGCAGGGAACAATGCAAAATAATGGTGGAAGCAGGGAACAATGCAAAATAAATGTAACAAAACATCCTGAAGGCCTAAGTAAGTGTTATATGCAATCACTAAAAGTAGTCCTTGATTGATACTGGCCAGTTAATCACCATGTGAAGTTATGCTGGACTAACAAAAAGTTACTTATGACCCATCCTCAATGTTATGACTGCTGCACCATGCAGTCATGTGATCACGTTTCAGGTGCTTGGCCTACTGGCTTGCATTTGTAACTGGTTGCAGCATTCCATGACTAGATGATCGTTTTCTGGCGAAAAAACACCCACTGGATAAGCTGGATTCAAATTTATAATCATGGGATTTGCTTAACACTCAAGTATTTTGCTTAATAATCATGGTGATTCAGTTAATGACTGTCATAAAATGGTCATGAAATTTATTGAATATTAATGAGGGAGAAGTCGTGACGTACGACTTCCCCCTCATTGGCCCAGGTTCCAAGGCGGAAGAGTGGACCGACGTGAGTGGCTGAAGCGCTGGTCAGCTCCGGGGGTTTAAAAGGAGCTGCCGGCATGTCTGTTGTGCTCTTTAAACTACAGGAATAAACTATTTTACTGCACCATGCTGCGTCCTGCCTCCTCACTCTGACCCCACATCTAACAAAATTGAATCTGAACACATGGTGAATTACAGTGATTTATAACCAATATTCTGAGCTCAATTGTGGTTGTAAGTCAAGAATTACCCATAGTGTGAAAAGAACAGTTTTCAAATGAAAAATTCCTTTGGACAGAAAGAGTGAGCAGGGTTGAAGGAGGGATAAAGGAGCATTTAACTTCAAACCAGCAGACATTTTTCTACTCCAATTCACTTATGAAAAGAGATATTGTAATTTAATTTGCAAGAATTTATTGTAGTTCATAATTTCATTCTGTGGTTTGTACTGTACTGACCATGATTCCTGATATTTATATTTTGTATGGAGCTTAATAGTGATTTACAGTAAAGTAATGACCTTCTGGAAAAGTATAACTTCTATGACATTCATAAAACTATTGCTTATTCATTTCTATTTTACTCTTTTATCCCTTTTATGGTCTTTGTCTTTATTCATTTATATATATTTTTTCTATTTTTTTAAAATACAATTCAGATTGTTTGTAAATAATCCTTGCTACTATTGTTGAATTCAAAAGCAACACTTGTTAGAGGATATGCTCTTGAACATAAGCAGAGTGTCAAAAAATACTGAATTTACAAAATGTCTCATTATATGGAAAATGCATTCATAGCAATTATTCATATGATGACTTACTATGAATAATGAATTACTTATAATATGAAATTATTAGAATACAATGTTGACTTAGTCCAACTACCAATGAATGTTAGCAGACATTCATTCTCTCTGAAGTAAAGATAGTCCTAGTAATACATGAAGATTTTTATTACTAAAGAAGATCAGTATTGAAAATCACTCTAACTAAAGTACATCTTAAAGAGGGGAAAGCAGATGACAGAGAGAGACAGAGAAAACAGAAACAGAGAAAGAAGTAAACTGACCTATGACAGAGATCAACCTCTACCAGCAGATACGCACAAAGATCTGTGTAAAAAGTTATGTCTCACAGGATAAAATCTGTTGTGCATTGCATTAGTGTGTTTGCATGCCATTGGCTCGCAAGGAGGGGAACTGTCAAGTATTGCAAGCCATTGGCACATGTGTCATATAAACACCAGTGGAGGCAGAGAGTGTCTCCACCCCTATGTGGAACAGAGGGGCTTACCCTGAGTATAAAACCCCCTCCAACCTTTTCCACCTCACTCTCTCTCACTCTTGCTCTCTCCATCTCTCTCTTTTCATGTTTGTTCCTCATGAGACTTGATCTCTGTTGTACATAGTTAATATGATTTATCATATGAATAAATACGTTTAAGACATTTATTTATGCATCTGCCTCTGAACTCATCTATGCTCCTTCTATGCTCCTGGGTGTTTCTACGAGCCCAATTCCACAGAATGGTAGCAGAAGATGGTTTCGATCCATCGACCTCTCTGTCATTGATCCATGACAGAGAGATGGGAGAGGGAAGCTTCCTTTGTTTTTTTAAAAAAGTTTCTCATTTTGAGATTATTTTCTTTTTATCATCTGCAGGACATAATGGTATTATTAATCCTACTGGTTGCACTGGCAGTGATGTCTCCATCTACATTGGCGGTAAGTTTTAAGGCCCAACTTTAAGAACTAGAATCAAATATAAAAATATAGGCCAGATGTTTGCAAAGGATGTAGAGTATTAAAAGAAAGCTACATGTTGTAGCTTTAGATGTTTAAATGAAGGCAGTTTAGGTAGGGAAAATCTGGGAGTCCTTGCCTCCTTGCCTCCTTTGCCCTATATAGTTGGTTTCAATTATCCTGCATTTCATGTGGAGTTTCTTCTAAGGCAGGGCTCTTAGGAGACCTACTCAGGTTGCCTGGTATCTTTTACTATTAGAGAAAGTGCATGCCAGCCAAAGCAGTATCATGCAAAATAGAATCCCACATGCCAAGAGAAGCAGTGGTAGTGGTGTCTTTGGCCATTTGGAGAAAGCAGCTCTCACTGCAGGAGAAGAACCAAAGAGTCAGGAAAGGATGAAATTCTGGAAAAGGAACTTTGTGTCAGGGTTCTGACCGATGCCCTAATTAAATCATGAGCCTTGAGCCAAGCTTCAAAAGAAATCCAGTTATTTATTAGGAGCTTCATGTCAGCACGTTACAAGTGAAGCCAACTCTGATCCCACTTAATTTATGTCCCGGCTCTGACCCTGTTTTCCCCCTCCCCCCAAGGTGTGTCATCAGTCACATTCTCCAATGAAGCAATTTCGTGGGTTGTAGAGATCACTCCCCTCCAGCCACTATGGGTAACCATGGAGATGGCCTTCACAGAGAGAAGGCTGGAATGTGCATTTTATTTCGACTGAAGTGCTCACTCTCTGCAGCTGCAACATTCCTTTTCCCATCCGCTTTGCCTATGGAAATTCGAGAGCAGGTCAGGGATGTTTTGCGAGTTAACACTTTGCTGCAAACTCTATGGGCTTGGCTTAGAGGCTCAAGTTTTCCCATACTGCCTATCAAGATAAGAAGCAACACACATCTGAATATGAAAACTCAGCTCTTCCTTGCATTGATTCCAAAGGTATATATTTTTGGTCAGTGTGGGAAACAAGATGTCCCCTTAATAGATCTTGATATGGCCTAGCAGGACTGTTCTTTTACTTTTAAAAATTAACTCTTTCCACAACGTAATACTTGTATGTGAGGAAGGGAGTTTTAGGCTGGGGAATGGGGATAAATACCATAAAGTCTGCCGGTTAATGTAACCTTTCAATGACTTTAAAGTTTGGGTTCATAGCAAATTCCCTTGTTTGATTTCCCACTTGGTTTGTGTTTAGGATTAGAGTCTGATTGATTGCATTGTAAAAACTGATGGTAATTATTGCTTTTATAAACTACGATCCGCTGTAAATTTGTATGAATATTAAATGATGTTGATTGGTGGCTACATTATGGGACTGAAGGAAGAAAAATATAGAAATATGCAGAGTAGTCTTACAGTGACACATGCCCTGAAGTGAATTTGCTACAGTGTTTGCCTATGCTGCTTGAGCTGATATATTCAAAGTGGCACTTTCATTTCCAAGTTAGGAGCAGGCTGACTTGAAAATTGTAAAGCATGTAATTGTAATGTAATATTAGAAATAAAAATGGGTGTGCCTTATGCACCAGCATGTTTAAACATGCTTGCATGTTCATTAAAAAAATATGCATTTAGTTGATGTTTGTATCTACCATCCTTCAACAGTCTGTGGAAGTCTCCCTGTTCTGTTTCCAGACTACTTTTTAAATCAGCAAATGATAGACTGTGTTAGTTTTGGCATGGCATGGTTTTTTTATATACATTTTATAATTATAAGCAAGAAGCAGTTGGTTTTATAATGTACGCATGTTTTATAAAGTACGGTTCTTTATCATTTTTCAGCAAGCAGTAGACATGACCTTGTTAAAGTTTGACCTGTCAATTTAGAATTTCCATTTAAATGCTGAAGTACTTAGCTTGGTCTAAAATGTGACCAGTGGGACCAATTATCAAATACAGATCCTTTCCAGCAAGGTGCCTTCTATATGGGTTTAATCCCTGTCCATTCCAGGGTTATTTGATGTTATAGTTCAACACTTCTAGAGGATGTTAAGTTGGGGAAGATGTTTCTGACCAATCCTTAGATTGTACCAGAGGTGGGTTTCAACAGGTTCTGACCAGTTCTGGAGAACCAGTAGTGGAAATTTTGAGTAGTTCGGCCACCTCTGACTGGCCCCGCCCTCATCTATTCTCTGCCTCCCGAGTCCCAGCTGATAGGGAGGAAATGGGGATTTTGCAGTAACCTTCCCCTGGAGTGGGGTGGGAATGGAGATTTTACAGTAGCCTTTCCCTGCCATGCTCACCAAACCACACCCACCAAGCCATGCCATGCCCACCAAGCCACACCCACAGAATTGGTAGTAAAAAAAATTGAAACCCACCACTGGATTTTACATGCTCTTTTTTAAACATGGGTGACAAAAGAGTGGCAGTACAGGCAGGGAAGGGCCATAGCTAGCAGCACCCAGAAGTACCATATGGTTTATAGATAGCAACATTAAAAAGTGTGACCATGCAAAACCTCTTCTTGCAGGAGCACTAGAAATCCCATAATCCTCATAGGCAACAGAACCAATAATGCACAGCTGGCTGTATTTTCCCAGGAGCACAGGACTAGTGCTCTCTGAAGTGAACATTAGTCCTGTTGTTAAGATATGGATTTACTGTTCTTCTCAAAGGAATACTAAATCCGACCTTAAAAAACAAGTATTGTGCTCTTTCAAAAGAACACAGTTCTTTTGTGGGTTATGTGGGAAGAAAAATCAAGTCCGCTTCCAAGCTGGGAATAAAATGGAGGCTACTTAAGAAAGGTTTATTGATGAGCACAACCAACAACAGTATACAGTTCTGGGCAGTAGTAGGTTTCACTTATCTTCGCTACCGGTTTGCTATTGGGAGCATGTGTGTGTGCGTGCTCACTTTGCTAGTGTACGGCACTTCTGCGCATGCGCAGAGTGTCCATGATGACATCCGGCTGGGTGAACGGAGCCTCCTGCCACCGCCGCTACCGGTTTGCCCGAACCGGAGAGAACCTCTAGCAACCCACCACTGGTTCTGGGACAGCTGACAAAATGGGGTTGGGATAGCTGGGCTTTTATACATTTGGAGGGGGTTTGTGTTTGAGATGTTCCAGGAAGTTGCGCAATGTAGTGAGGTTTGTGTCTTTTGCTATTCTAATCTTATTATGTCCTAAAGGTCCTGTCCTGTACTTGGGGGAATGTAAATTCTTAATCCCACCAACTCTGGGGGGGAGCTGGGCTAAAGGCCTTTTGTTTATGAATAAGATGGCCTGGATTTCTTAATAGGCACAACATATCCATCTCTAAAGACTTGAGGCGTCTGCTTGAGGCTATGGGGCTGTTTTCTCCCTTTTAAAAGATTTTTCTCCATTTCTCCTTTGGGAAAATATAATATTCTGCCCCTTTTAATATTCCCCAAAGTATTTCATTCTCTGGAGGGGAGAGGGGGGCTTCCCACAATTACATCATGTAAGACCTGACAAGAACTTTGGACAGATTCCTTTATGGAAGTTAATTTTTGGTTTCTCATAGAAAATCTGGTAACTCATCCATTTAAGAAATATCAATTCCATATTTGTACCAAATTCCTGAGATATATGGATACTGAGAACCATAACTCAGTTAGCAATATGTAATATAAATAAAATGAGGTTTCTTCACATATGGATAGATGAGAATCATTAAATCTAATCTTTGGGGGAAGGTGAATGTACAATACTCAAAATGAATATTATTCCCAATTTAATTTGAGTATTATTCCCAGTTTAATTTATATTCTGAGAGGAATTCCTCTCAGAATATAAATTAATAAATTGTTTGTTTAGAAATTGTTTTATGGGGCTCTTCAATTCCAAGAATATCTTTACAGAAAATGCAATTGTTAGTTAATGAGGGAGTATTCAGTTTTCTGAATATCAAGTGTGATATTTGCAGGCTGCCTGCAAAATGGTCAGCACCTGGGTCGCTGGTGCCCTGCTGGTGTCCTGTCACTTTAAGAACTCCCCTAGCCAGTCCAGCAACTGGTGGCTGTAAAAGCTGAGCAGACTGGCAACTGGTTGGTGGTGGTTGTGTTGGAGTGAGAGAGAAGGTTGTTTGTGTTTTGGGGGGAACTAAACCGACCTGAAGCAGTCCAAGGCAAATAAAAGAGTTACTGTTTTCCAGAAGTAGGACTCACAAAGAGAAATAGTGAAGGAATAGTAGAGTTGTAGCAGAACTGGGAAGAGTGATATAGTAAACAGGGTGTATTAGCCTTTGAGTCAGTGGTGAAATCCAATTTTTTTTACTACCGGTTCTGTGGGTGTGGCTTGGTGGGCATGGTGTGGCTTAGTGGGTGTGGCTTGGTGGACATGGCAGGTGAAGGATACTGCAAAATCTCCATTCCCACCCCACTCCTGGGGGAAGGATACTGCAAAATCTCCATTCCCACCCCACTCTGGGGCCAGCCAGAGGTGGTATTTGTCGGTTCTCCAAACTACTCAAAATTTCCGCTACCGGTTCTCCCAACTACTCAAAATTTCCGCTACCGGTTCTCCAGAACCTGCTAGATTTCACCCCTGCTTTGAGTCCTTGTGGATATTGCCTAGAGGCCAGGGAGTTTGTTTTGGTTCTCTGGAATTTTGGAGCTCACTGACCTGGGTATATATAAAAGAACCTGTGACATGGAGCTATATTATCAAACTTATATATTGCCAAGTATTGAATATGGAAAGCCAATGAACGGTGTTAATTTTCCGATTTGTAACTTCATAGTATACATATATGGCACCTTTGATTAGATGGACTAATAAAACTATAGTATGTCTGAAAACAATTATATTGGTTAGAAAGCTATATAATGTCTAATAAAAACAAATTTGATCTGCATTCCCATGCTAAAGTGACTTTATGAGAAAATCCAACATTTTTAAAAAATGAGAAAATAATATGGATAAATTGAATGAAAGCCAGGACATTGACTTTGGACAAATTAATAGATGATGAATATGAATGTTTAAAAAACTGCTATTTCTTTTTATAGATAT